ATTATCATGCGCACCATTGTCGAGAGTAACAAAGGATAGCTTTTCCCATAGCAAGGCGAACTCCTGGATATGCTCCATGGTGAGCCCATGATGGATATCAATCTGACTAACCCAATAATTATTGAGGAGAGCTTTTTTGGACCGAGATGGATTTCTATTCTGAGAGGTCAAATATCTTTGGGGCAATATCTTTGGGTCTCATGCCGTTGAGCCAAGATGATTCCCAGAACTTTGCCTTACATCCGTTTCCAACACTAACCGTGGTGGTTGCCACAAACTGGTCTCTATCATCATCATTGCACGGTGTTCCCGTCCCAGCCCAAGTCTTGGCGGGGTCAGCCCACTCATACCAAAGCCATCGCAGTCGAAGGGCAGTATCAAACTTCTCAAGGTTGAGGATGCCCAAACCACCGAAGATCTTGGGCTTGCAGACGAGTTCCCAGTTGACCTTACATTTTCCACCGGTCACTTTATCGCAACCCGCCCAAAGATAGGCATGCCGCAAGCTGTAAATCTTCTTCCTCACTTCCGCCGGCAATTGCAGGAGTGTAATATGATATATATAGCAATGGCGGTAAGCACTGCCTTGACCAAGACGACATGGCCTGGCATGGCCACATGTTTGGCAACCCAAGGTGGTAGTTTCCCCGCAACTTTATCCTCTAAGAATTGAAAGTGAATCCTCTTAAGCCTTGAAACCTAAAGGGGAAGCCCCAAATATCTCATAGGGAAGGTGGAGCGAACCGCTGGGAAGGCTTGCAGGACGTCGTCAAGGTTAATGTTACCGCAGCGAATGGGCGCAACTACACTTTTGGCACAATTAGTGACCAATCATGTAACATCACCAAAGGATGCAAGAGTTGAAGCCAGGAACTGGATGTCATTTTTTATTCGGGTAATGAAAATGGCAGCGTCATCGGCATAAAACGACGCACAGATGGGTCGACCTCTGAGCGGTTGAAGATGACCTTGAGAAGTCGCCTTGGCAAGGATGTGGTGCAACGGGTCAATGGCAAGCACAAATAGCAATGGGGAGAGGGGGTCCCCTTGACGAAGGCCTCGACCATGCCGAATTGGGTCACCGGCAATACCATTGAGCAACACAGCGCGAAGATGCCAAGGAAAGAAGGGCAGAGATCCAATCTCTGAAGCGACTTGGGAAGCCATGGTGGCGCAGCAAATCCATGAAGTAATCCCAACACACCGAATCAAAAGCATTCTTTATGTCAAGCTTGAAAAGCAAAGTTTGGTGTATTTGTGCGTTGGAAGCGCCTAGCCAAGTTGTGCACATACATAAAATTGTTATGAATACTTCTTTTTTTGATGAAAGCACTCTATGCATTGGATACTAGTTTGTGCATATGAGGAGTGAGCCGTGTGGCCATCATTTTTGCAATGATCTTAGCAATATGATGGATGAGATTAATTGGTCGAAAATCTGAGATGTCCTCTGCACCATCTTTCTTTGGAATGAGAGCTATGTTTTCCGAGTTCAGCCAATTCAAGTTGGAGACATGAAGGCTAGAGAAGTTGTTGATGACCTCCATGATTTTAGGTTGGACTATTCCCCAACACTCTTTGAAGAAGGCTCCGGTGAATCCGTTAGGGCCTGGGGCTTTATCACTAGGGAGGGCAAAGATTGCCGCCTTGACCTCCTCCACTGAGAAAGGCATCGCCAAGTCCGTGAGGTCACAAACTGGAGCAAGGATGGATTCCCAGTTGAGGTCCATAGCACGGGGCACCCCTTCTTTTATGGCCTTCCTAAAGTGTTCTTGTGCAATCTTCTTCTTATCCTCGTGGTCTGTGACCCATCCATTGTTATGTTTCAACCGATGAATACAAAAAAATCTTCTTCTCTGGTTGATGTGAAGGTGGAAGAAATGCGTGTTGGCATCACCCTCTTTGAGCAAAGTAACCCAAGAGCTTTGTCTCTTTCTAGCTCTCTCAAGAACGGCAAGGGCCACAATCTTTCTTTTGAGCTTCCTCCGAAGGTCTCTCTACTCAGAGATCAATGTTCTACTCTCTTGGGCCAAATCCAATCTAAGAATGATGTCAAGGGCCATGTGAAGTTGGACCTTATGGTTCGAGAAGATCTTTTTGCTCCAAGTGCGAAGGTGTTGACTAACTCTTTTTAGCTTGTGAAAGAGGATTTGACATGGCTTGACATGGGGGACTCTCTTATTCCAAGCATCTTGAACAGTCTTCTTGAAGTTAGGCATCTTGATCCAAAAGTTTTCAAAGTGGAAGCATTTTGGCCGGGAGGGCCCCGCATCACTAGCAAGGAGTAGAGGACAGTGGTCGGACAATGAAGATGACAATGCGTGGAGAAGGTGGGAGCCAAACTGAATGTCCCAATCTTCATTGCAAAAGAAGCTATCAAGTTTGCTCATGGTCTGGTTTACTTGCTCATTGCTCCATGTGAATTTCCTATTCTGCAAGTGTATCTCCTTTAGCTCACAAGCATTGAGGGCGTTGCGGAAGCGGACAATACGGCTGCGATCGATATTTGTACGGTTCTTATCTCTGGCCCGATAGACTTGGTTGAAGTCGTCGGTGACAATCCATCTCGTGCCAACAGGAGGTTTTTGTCCAACCATTTCAAGGAAAAAGGCATCCTTCAAATTGCCTCTAGTAGGGCCATACACGGTTGTGATTTGGAAGGATGTGTTTGAGCCAATGATAGTCACCATGGCCGAGAGGAAGAAGTCCCCAAAGCTCACATTATCAATATTGACTAGGTCTTCATTCCATAATAGAAGAATTCCTCCACGGGTGCCATTCGCGGGCCGCTCAGTGAAACTTTTCAGACGGTGGCTGCCGAGGAAAGTAGCAATAAAAGGATCCACGGCTGCAAGCTTGGTTTCTTGAAGACATACAATGTTGCAAGAAGTGGAGGCGATGTTTTCATGTACAGTAGAACGACGGTCTGGGCAGTTCAATCCACGAACATTCCAATTCAAAATGCATAAGTTGTTATCTTCCATTAGAAACTAACAATACATCAATCATCAGTGTAGAAACATCATCATGCCGTCGTCGTGGCCTCCTCACTTCCCATGGCATGTAGGTCTGGGGCCGTGTCGCCACCATGCTCAACTAGAGCGTCTTCGACAACAGTGGTCAGGCCACAGTCAAGCTTGAATAGTGCACGCAGAGCCGCCACCACAATGTCTGGCAGTTTACCATTGAACAACGCGACATACTTGTTGATGGCCTCCTCGGTCATCATTTCACCTTCCTCTATGATACCCAGCCTTTGGCAAAGCAGCTTCTCCGCTAATTTTGCGATAGCATCGATCGGTTCTTGGCCTGGAGCCGCGGGCTGCTGCGTCCCACTGTGAAACTGGAGATACCAACCAAGGTCTTCCTTCTCGTTGGTGGCCTTGGCAGGGTTGATCTTGGCGTTGGCGATGGCAGCAGGGCCTGCTGACAAGGCACAAAGATGGGGGTGCTCTGCTCTGGCTGGTCGGAGCAGTCCTCCTGGGAGCTTTGAGGAGCAGAGACGACCCTCGCTGGCAAACTTGGGATCGGAGAAGTTCTGGACAGGCGAAGCAAGCCAGAAGGGCGCGTCAGGGTGCAGCCATCCAGAAGAGGCGGCGATGGCTGCAACAGATTAGTCGGCCCATTGCGTGTTGGCGACCTCATTCTTCTGATAGAAGGCGTCCACGGCGGGGAGGTGGTGGGCGTTCGTAGTACAAAGACAGGGGTGCACGTCGGGCTGTCGGTGGATGGAGTCGCGCCCAAAGAGGAGCCTGTAGTCGAGGAGGTTGCACGGCGCATGAGATGAGGGCGGCGAGCAAGAAGGCCAGACCGGTGGCGTGTTCGACGCAGGCAATCCCAGGCCCGGGTTCACGCAATGCAGCCAATCAGGAGCAGTTGAGGAAGGGCGCAGCTCGATGATGTCCTGGAATGTAGTGCGAGGAGAAGGCGGTGATCTTTCGTTGCTCCCAGAGCCAGCTGACGAAGGTCTCAGCTCGATGATGTCTCAGTGAGTAGTGCGCGGAGAAGGCAGCGGTGACCGACCACGAGTCTCAATGTTGTGCGGGCTGGTACTGCTGTTTGTTCGGCGCACGCTCCTATGTCTCAGTCGATACTATAGTCTTTTAATTTCGTATGGACATTCGTGCAAAAAATTCTTTTCACTTTTTTCTTTTTTTTCTTACTCCCTCCAGTCTTTTTTAGTCTGTATATAAGTTTTGACTCAAGTCAAAGCATCTTTACTTTGACCAAACTTATTTAAAAAAGGATCAACATTTACAATGTCAAATCAACATAGTTAGATTCATTACGAACTGTAGTTTCACGGAATATATATTTAGTATGATAAATGTTGATATTTTTTTAATATATATTTGGTCAAACTTTATAATGTTTGACTTGACCAAAACCTAATACGCGAAGTAAAAAAGACCGAAGGAAGTATTATACTATATCACTTGACTAAGACTTGGTTAAGTTTCAGTCGAGTGAGACCTAACCACACCCATAATAAAAAACAGATGAGAGCCCGTCTATGAAACCACGGTAGGTGGTGCTCGGCCGAGTGAACCCGACCGCTCACGTTAGCGCATCCCCGCCGCGACAGACGGCGACGCATTTAGCCTTGTTTTCACCTGGAGCCGTCCAATGCGGCAGTCGGTAGACTGGACTCCGAGACCGAGAGTGGGCACGCACGGACGCGCGTCGTACCGCTCTAATCCGAACGGAGCCAAGCAAGCAGGATTTCATCGGTGCGTGCCGTGGGCGGCGTGGCATTCGGTGGTCACGCCCCCAGCAAAACAACAAGCCATCGTCGAGGCCCCCCTCCCTCCCTCCTCTCCTTCCAGGTGGCCGCGCGCCCAATATCCTCCCTGCTCCTCGCTCCTTGCTCGGTTATCCGCCTCTTGACCCCGAGCCTTCCTCCTCTCCCCTCCCTCGCGCCATCGCTCCACCATATTGTGCCGCGCGCTTGACCAGCCCAGGCCCCTCTCCCCGTTTCGGAGCTCCATCCGTGTCGATCCATGGGGAGGCTGTGCTGCGCGGCGGCTGCGCTGCTGCTGCTGCTCGCCTGCCTCAGTTTCAGCCTTGGCGCCTGCAGCTCCGATGCTCAGCGAGGTATGTCGGTGTGTGTACCTCTGCTGCAGTGCTGCTGCTGAAGAAACATTGCTGCTATTTGATTCTTGTGCGTGTTCATGTCATTGGAGCAAGCTTCTTCCCTTTTTTTAGTTTACTTGCTTGTTTTTGTTTCTTTAAAGTTGAGATGTATAGTGATGGTAATTAAGTACGAACTCTCTCACTGTAGGATGGGTGAACGACCGGGAGGAAGATGCACGCCCCGCAGACAGGTGAGATCTCTCTCACCATACCTTTCATGTTCTGTGCAGGAAGGCTCTGAATTTCAGTGTCACTGGGAGGAAATAGAGTGTAAAATCTCGTGAAAGCCATTATAGTAGTAGCATGAAATCTTCCTTCGTCTAGGCAGAGTAGCTTGGAAACTTCTTCATCTGCATGTTTCGTGTTTCGTCATCGCAACATTCCACTCTCCATTTTAAATTCGCGAGGAAAACGATTAAAGAACACTTAAAATACTGCAAAAACATTCTTCGCGGCCATCTTCTCAGATTGCATCGCATGGATAAACACCAATAAGATCTGAGGTGGGAATGGCGTGTCGGCTGTCAGAGACGGACAGCTGAACCACCGAGCAACCCTGGTTGGTGCATGTCCGTCGTCCAATTGTTCTTCACCGCTTCTGCTCACTCCCATCTGCCGACTCCAATCATTGGCAGGCGTGTAGTCCAGGCGGTACACATCCGAGAAGCTCTGCCACAACCAACCAGGTACAGTTCCAAGCAGTCGACGGCGTTCCCGCAGTGGCCACCCTGGCCATGGGCACCGGCACCGACGCCGACGCCGAGTTCTCCGCCGTTGCAGGGTGCTGGCTCCCCGTCAAGCGCCCCCGCACCGTCGCCGGAGGTCGCCAAGCCTCTGGCAGTGCCGCCTCGGGACGTCGAGAAGCCTGCGCACAGCATCACGGTGCCACCGATGCCAGCCACGGTGGTGGCCCACGGCGCTGCAGCGGTCGGAGAACCGTCGACTGAGGCAGCGGGGCACGCTCCTACCAGGCGGCGTGTCTATGTCATCGCCGGAGCAGGAGCTTCCCTCCTTGTGGCCATTTCGGCGGCGCTGTTCGTCCTGTGCTACCGGTCCAATAAGGTGGTCACCGTCAGGCCGTGGGCGACCGGCCTCAGCGGGCAGCTGCAGAAAGCGTTCGTGACAGGTTCGGCTCGCCCCTGAAAACTGTGCCCAAGTTTCCATCTGTGCTGCTACGTGGCTCGCTTCTTTTCTTGGAAGTGATTGGGAGATGGCTGCAGGCGTGCCGTCGCTCAAGAGGTCGGAGCTCCAGGCGGCCTGCGAAGATTTCAGCAACGTCATCGGCTGCCTGTCGGATTACATGATGTACAAGGGGACGCTGTCGAGCGGCGTCGAGATCGCCGTCATATCGACGACGACGAAGTCCGGCAAGGAGTGGTCCAAGCACTGCGAAGCCCAGTTCAGGAAAAAGGTGGCTGCAAAGCTAGGATGAAACTGAACAAATTAGATAGTATTACCCTGAAAATAAATAGACTTACCTTAATGAACTTAGTAATGATGGGCATTGTACTGTTTCAGATAACAAGCCTGTCCAGAGTTAACCACAAGAACTTTGTGAACCTGCTGGGCTACTGCCAGGAAGAGCAGCCGTTCACAAGGATGATGGTGTTCGAGTATGCTCCAAACGGCACCCTCTTCGACCATCTCCATGGTAAGATTAATGGAGTTTCATCCATCAGACGTTTTTACAAGAGCTGTAGCAGATTAACTAACAATGGTGTGGTTCGCTGCAGTGAGGGAAGACGGTCACCTGGACTGGCCGACGAGGCTGCGGGTGGCGGTGGGGATCGCCTACTGCCTGGAGCACATGCACCAGCTGAGCCCGCCGGAGATCCTCAAGACGCTCGACACGTCCACCGTGTACCTGACCGACGACTTCGCGGCCAAGATTGCGGATGTCTTCTTCTGCTCGGACGACGCCTCGTCGACAAGGGCGGAGATGGCGAGCCTGCAGTCCCTCCTGGCTCTGTCCGACAGGGAGAGCGTTGTGTACAGCTACGGCATGGTGCTGCTGGAGATCATGTCCGGCAGGTTCACGGCGTCGGCCGGCGGCCTGCTGGAGGGCTGGGCGGCGAGCTTCCTCCGAGGGGAGAGGCAGCTGAGGGACGTCATGGACCCTGGCCTGAGCTGGAACGCGCCCCGCCAGGCCGAGACCGTCAACAGGCTGGACGGCGTGATACGGTCCTGCACCGACCGGGAGGCGAGGCGGCGACCCGCGATGGCAGAGGTGGCGAGGCGGCTGAGGGGGATCACGGCCATGCCGCCGGAGGCGGCCACCCCCAAGGTGTCGCCGCTGTGGTGGGCGGAGCTGGAGATCATCTCCACCGAAGCCACCTGAAGGAGCTGAGCATACAGGTTTGCTACAAGAGTTCGTATACCAACAGTTGAAATCGCAGTGTGTGCAAGTGGTGTAGCATAGCATAGTGACAAAGGTGTGCTTGTATTTTCGCTTCACTACAGACCTTGTAGTTTGTCCAGATTTTGTAACCAGACTGCCTCAGTGCATACTGCAGCTCGCAGAAACACCATGCAGAAGAGACATCAGCAGCAGCATAGCGTGCATGCAAGTACGCAGCACAAACGAGTAGAATACAATAATAAGTTTAGCTGTTCAAGACGTCCAATGCCCATAAACCCCACTGCCGTCGAATGTGACGCATAACGACTTGACAGACTGAAAATAATAAACCACCACAGAAGACATCTACGACAATGTTCCTACGACTGACTGACGCTATACTTTGGTACCCTTCTGTTCATCTGAACCAAACCCAAACGGAGTTTGGCGCAGCAACAAAACCAAACATCCACCATAACAGACGACGCAAGATAATTTCTCGTCTAGGAGACTATCGCTTGGTTTATCATCCCCTGGGTCCATGACGCCGTCTCCCTGACTTCATCATCCAAATCGAGGCACTCCCTCAGGAACTCAACGTGGAAGAGGTGGCTCTTGAACAGATCCTTCGAGATTGGCCCAAGCGTGTCCGCAAGATCCCCCAGGACAGCAACTGCAGCCTTTGTCACGCTCTCGTCCCTGAAAGTAAACGCATGCATATATATAATGTTAAGCAAGAGAACCAATCACCCATGTAATAATGTAACAAAAAAGAAAGGCGAGAGAAATGACATGGACCTGCTCCGATCTTTGTAGACAGCTTCAGTGAACTGCAACAGATGTCCTGCATAAGGTATCATCAGCTGAGCTTTTGCGCCCTTTATGCCCTGTAGTATGCCAGAGTACGCCTCAAATATTCCCCGTCTGAGCTGGTTACCATAATCAACCATATCCTCATCATTTTGATCCAAAACAACAAGAAGCTCAGCCGCCCCTTGAAGCATTGGCATAGCATACGGCAGGTACTTCTCAAAATTCTCACCGATGGCAAGAGCAATGTCTCCAAAGCATGAGAAAATCGGAGGCTTGACAGACCTGTTGAGCTGTGAGTTTGAGAGATCCTTGAGAAGCACAGTCATGATCCCATCACAGAAGGGCAAAATTTTATCTTCCAAGGCACGGCAAATATCACCCACCACCCCTACAGAGATGGAGCATACTTGGTATTCTTCATAATTCTGCAAGCCTGCCTCAAGGTACTTGAAAAACTCAGGCATGTATTTCACAAAATCTGGACCTGTGGCATAAGCAAGAGCACCAATGGCAAGCATTGCTTCTTCATGTACAGTAGCACTGTGGCAGGCAAAGACGCGGAGAAACAGAAGCATCAGCTGATCAGCAGTCTGTGCAATTATGGACTTTGCATCTGAGCTGCTCAGTTTCTGGATAATGACCTGCAGTACACCACACAGCAAAGCCTGCAGATCGCTTTGCTTCTCCTTGTCGCCTGATGAAAATATTTGGTGATCAAATGTCAGGTTCAATCTTCTCATGATCTCCTGCAATAACTGGCCTATAATGCTTGAAGTTTCGGGTATGTTACTGACTCTTACAATCTCATTCAGCGCTTCATAAGCAGATGCACGAAGCCTCACATGGGTCATATCACCACGATCCGCGGCAGTAAGGAGTGCAGCAATAACATTAGGAAGATAAGGTGTAAGCAAAGATGAGGCCGGCTCTGCATCTTCATAACCTTGGGCAAGAAAATATATGGCTCCACAGACTTTCTCAGCCACATTTGGAACATCTTTGCTACTCTCTAGCAGCACAGCCATGATACGAGGAAGGTTTGCATTTGATATGATTGGATTAGTACTGCATGGAGAATGCAAAAGCTCAAATACCCGTCCAAGAGTCCATGCAGTGGTGTCTTTTACCTGGCTGTTTGGATCATTCATTGTATTGAGCAAGAAATCAAGTCCGGCCTGTACCAGGGGAGCAAGTTTCTCAAGGGATGGGCCATCAAGGATAGAACCAAATGCAAAAGTGGCTGCCTCACGACAACGCCAGTCTGGCTTTGTGATGTTAGCTTCCACAAATGGCATCACAAGAGGGACAATTGCATCACCAACAGTTCTAGCAATGAGTCCAAGGCATGTTCCGCCACTCATGGAAATGTTCCAAGCATTATCATCTTGCTCTTGATCTTCCTCTTGCTTCAACAGAGTTTCTAGCAGCATTGGAACAAGTGAAGGGAGGGCCTTCTCAATGAAGCGATAATTTACAGTTGAGTTAGCATCATCAGATCCCTCATATTCCTCTTGGAGTTCAATCTCTTCCTCACAAATAGTACTCCAGAACTCAACAGCCTGCAGTGCAACTGGTTCCTCATCTCCTTTGACAGCATTAGCTGTCAGGTTGAATATGGTTTGCATATAAGGATCTAAGTGCACATAATATGTGGATGCAATTGCCACAAGGCATTCAAAGGCTGCCTGTCTGATCTCCACTTCCTTAGATACAGCAGTATCACAAATTACCTTCATTATAAAGGTCCTCTCCATCTCATTTGCAAAGTTGCTCTCAGCAAAGTCAAGAGCATTATACAGAGCTTTAACTGCTGCAAGACGGACTTCAGAGCTTAGCTCTGTCTGGTTCATCCCCTGAACCACAGCAGTCAGAACAGCGTTCACTTGATCCTGCTCCAAGTGCTCAGGAGGAATCTCCTCACACACATACCCCAATGCTTCTAGAGTTGCTTGCTTTAGTGGCGCAGAGGCCCCAGGCTGCGTCATGTTGCTCAATAATTTGGCAATGAGGTCTTGCCATTCCCGACGGGGTATCTCAATGGATGCAATCTTTGCAATGACTTGTGATGACGTCTGCCGCGCATCACCCACCGAAGATCCTAGTGTTATCAGCAATGACTCCTTAATCTGCAATTTGATCGAGTGATCCAAGCTGACCCATTGTTGAGTCAGCAGCTCCTTCTTTGCAGAATCCTTTGCGTCCAGTGAGTTCTTAAGGATAATACCAGCAAGTCTTCTAGACTCTGGTGGTCTTTCATCATTCGATAACTCCACTGACAAGGATAGGAGGAAGTTGGGAAGATTCTGCTCCTGGAACTGCTTGATGTTGCCTTCTGCTGCTGAGCGAAGGTTGCCATCTGGAGACTGGGCAGCTAGCAGAATCTGAGTGATATCCATGGCTGTTGCACCTGCCCTGGCAAATATTGAAAGACCAGATTGTATCAGTTAGCCAGACAAATATGGGAGGAACAGACTGTGTCAGTCAGCAACATTCAAGGATAAAGCATCTAAGTACAAATACAAATTAAAACAAAATAGCACTTGTGAACTGTCCTAGATCTACAGGCTACTGACCAGTTTCACGTAGCTTAGTGTTCTTCCACAAGTAAAATTAAGAAAGGCTTGACAACCACATAATGCAGTTACACGGTTAATCAAAAAATAGTTTTGCTAAAATACAGTTACAGGATGCAAAAAACATCTACCACAAATGAAACAACGCATTCATAAGATAGTTACCGTTACTTCAGTAGATAGGTACTGTTTATCTCTATCAGCGAGACATATTTCCTAGTTAAACAGTTACAAAGGATCTGACCATGCGTTAAGTTTATTTGATTGAGGAGGCATAGCTAAAAAGGATAAAGAACCCCACCGGTAAACTAGGTATTCATGAGGCAACTGCACACTACATCACCAGGGCTGATTTTGACAAAACCAAACCATATGAAGTTGTTCTACAACCAGATAAATTACGATGCCCCTGAACAATGCTACTGCATGCATGGACAATAAGAGTATACTATTAAGAAAACAAAGTTACGGCAGGGAAATATATGGATACACTGCCAGGACCTTGAACATGTCAAATCAAATTGTACTAATCAACAGCGCTAGATCAATTCATACTAATCCACGGCGGGCTAAGCTATACATACAAATACGCTGGTCGAACCAACTTGGACACAATCCCTGATGCACCTGTAGGATGGCCAACTGGGCTACCACTACCAGGGTAAAGCTCCGATGCGTATATAGGCGGCTTACAATAATACATAAATAAATAAATAAAACGACTACTAGCCCATACGGCTGGTTCCGCCGCCGGCCCACGACGGGGTGCTGCTTCCCGCAGACGCCGCGCGCTTAACCGGCGGTGAGACGGATATAAACAGGGTAAAGTGGAGGAAGGGGAGACCGGACTGGATACTGCGGAGACTGACGGGGTAGGCGGCTAGGGTTAGGGATTGGGGACAAGTCCGAGAGAGATCGGGGATTGATTGAGACAGCGGAAGGAAACTGCGAGAGACCAATCGAGGAAGCGGGAGAGCTTACCAGAAGAACGAATCTGCCGGGGGATGCTTCCGCGCTCGCTCGCTCGCTCGGCCGCCTCTCCCAGACAAATGGAAGGAGGCTGCGGAGGAGGGAGAGAGGGGAATATAGGCAGCGCCGGCGGCTAGGGTTTAGAGGCGGGAGTCTGGGTTTTGGGGGTGGGCCTCTGGCGGGGAGGGCAGGACGCGTGGTTTAGTACTAGTGGACGCCCTCGATCCGACGGCCCACGCGACTCCCGCCCGGGCCCGACAGGCTTGCTCGATGATCGGACGGTCGACTCGGTGTTGTATTTTCTGTTCTTATAACGACGAAGGAAAAGGTGTCCTGTTCTCCTTGAAAAATGACAATGGCTTTTTACTTTTTGGATTGGAGGACTTCCTTTTTCCGTGTGGAGTTGATTCGTGAGAATCACCTGATTACTGCACACACACACGCAATGTTTACTGCTTCAAGATTTGACTATCAATAGGAATGTCGTCTCCACGTTAATGAGGCAAACATGTGTCAAATCTAGGGTTGTATTCTTGTTGTGCTATAAGATACAACGATCATCATTGCCTCCAACCACATACTGCTATTATTTTTAAAGGATCTTATTAGGGATGGAGCTAGGCATGGATTGTTGATGGGGCAAAC